TGATTTGGAGGGTTGTATATTGCCCACCTTGATATGCTATGTAACTAGCAAGCATAGATTCAGTTTGACTGGGGAGTCGATATTAAGAGTGGTAACCCTATTGTTGCTCCCTTAAGCAGAATAAGAATTCTGCCATGTTAATGTTCTTTGGCATCATTATTAAATTATTGGTCCAACTATGAAGGTATACAGCAAGGAGATCCTTTTGATTTCTCTTTGTGGGGCATGCCAATGGTAAAATTATTCCCAAGTGGATGGTTTTCCTGGGTCAGAAGAATGCATGGTAACCATTTAATTCAGAAAGGAATGCCACCATTTGTCCATGCCAGAAAAGAACAGTGGTGTGCATTTGGGACTGTTATTGGAGTGAAGGTAATCTCACTTTTTGCCTTTGACAGTTTTAGTCATTTAAATCTCTATGTACTTCTGCCTGCGTAACCCATCTCAGCCTTCTGGCTCTTGGTCGTGATTTGGCAAGAGAGATAATGGGATACAGTGCTGGAAACTATCTTTTATGTGTCACAGTACTCTTTCTGTGTCTTCCAAGTATCATACGGATGTCCCAGAGGGTACAACCAAAGATGATATCCTTCGCCTCAAGGTGGAAGATAAAGATAGTCCTAATACACGTGCTTGGAGAGCCAAGTATACAATAAAGTCAGGAAATAAAAGAGGAAACTTTGCTATTGTGACGGATCCGAAAACTAATGAAGGTGTTTTAAGTGTCATCAAGGTAAGGCAAGTTAACAAAGATAGAGATAAGATTTCTAGAATCATTCCATTGGCTACACTGACTATGGATTATGGGAACTGCAGGTGGCACTCCTCTAGATGGCATCAGATCTAGGAAGATGGAAGAGGAAGCCAGAATGTATTAATGGAAACTCTTGTGGTTTATTTTTTTCAGCCTTTGGTCTACGATAGTCCTTCTGTGAGGATACTTCTCATTGTTGTGGAGAATGAAGAGCCCTTCTTTTTATGTGAGAGAGGCTTGGTGAGCATCATTTCTCCTCCAAAATTT